TATGGTATTTTAATATAGCAGCCCAAACTGAGTAAGACAAATGATCATACATAAATGCTACGTATTTCCTTTGCCTAGCAGTTCATAATTTATATTGTACATCTATATATAAACCTTATTTAATCCATACAACAGTCCACTTTTCCAATGAGGAAACTAAAATTCAGAAAGATTAAATGATAACTTAGTAAATGGTAGATCTGGAAATCTTATCAATCTGTAATTTTGCCTTCCAGAGAGCTTACTAAAATTTTACTTATTTATAATTTTATTAATTTAAAAATAAACTATATTTTATAAGCAATGCACCATTTGCTTAATTTCTAAAAAATGGCTCCAAATACTACTCCCATCACCCATTTATTTTCATTCTGATCAAAAACCACATATTTAGTGTGTACTCTGTAATTGTCCATAAGTTGTGTTCCTTTGTGCATTTTATTTTCTCCACCATATTAAAAGCTCTTTAATGGCAGGAACCTTTTATAGAGCTTATGATAGGGTTACAAAACAACATCTATTTCCAACTACTATATATGTAGGAAATCTTTACAAGAGAGGATTTTCATGTGATAATAGCCATATTTACTGTCTCTAAAAGCAGTTGCATACAGTTGTTTATTCTTATATACATGATGTACTCTGATAATAAATTTATTAAAAATTACAACAGATTGATTAGTAAAAGCTGAAGAATCTTCTTTTTATACTTATTGGTTGATAATTCTATTCTACTCTAAAATTGAATACTAAAAGAAGTAGGACAAATCTATACACCTGCAAACTCTTTAATAACATAATCAAACACTTAACCTAATTTATATCACTGAAACAAACATTTTAAATGTAAGATATAAATAGTTCTGTGTTTAATATAACTGCTGCAAACATATTCTGACTACTTAGGCAATTTCAAAGCATGTCTGTATTATTCTTATCTAACCAACTTACATTATGAAATATTACAGAATTATTGCTAATTCTTTTTCAGTGTTTGCAGTCAGAATAATAAATTTTTTCTTCATCCCTTACATTAAAAATAGTGTAGCACAGTTAGAATCACTAATATATAAATAGGTCCATGCATGTACTTGGGCATCCTTTCATTTTTACACTTCTTGAAGTCATTGAAATAAACAATATTTAGTTTACCTCATAAACAATGGCTTTGGCAAGCCTGATTACCACCTCATTTTGGCAGATTTATTTCTTCATCAGTGAGCAAGAATTCAATTTCTTTATATCATGTAAGACAGCATGTCATACAAGCTTCTTAAGTGTGCATCTTTCTAATAATAGGACTAATTACATAATCAAAAGCACTAATTTCATTTCTGTAAAGAGGTATATTTGTTTAATTTAAATTAATTTGAATTCTATATTATTATTTCTCTGGTATACAAAAAGGCACAAATATTTAATTTCATGCAATCATGTTCTTTTAGGCTCTACTAAATGACTTTTGACCAGTATTTCTGATATCAATTATTTCCTGACCTCAAGCAGTACCATCTACAAACAGAGAAAGCTCAGTCTCCAGTCACCAATTTATCCCTACGAATTATAAACGTGCGGGGGGAGGGGGAATTTAACATGAAGCTCTTCGATACTATAAGACCATTTAATTATATAAGCAATTTTAAATGTGCACAGTTATATAAACAAAACTAATCATTAAAAGAAGAGAATACCACAAAAATGGCCAGGTAATGAGAAAAAGGGGCTCATTTTTTTCCATATCACCTTTGAGAGAAATGTGTAATTAAATAGGCCAAATGTATGCACTGCTGAGATGTAATACTACGTTATCTAAAATCATATCCCCTAGCATATCCCATCACAGCTTTGCTGACTTCTTTCCAAATTGAAATATAATTTTTCTCTCTTCTTTGATCTAAAAGATGTCAAACTTCTTATAAAAAGAATTATTTTGGAGAAGTTAAAGGGCAAAGAGTTAAAACGTTGCTTATATCAGAAGTCTGGATACTTCGAAAGAGAAATCCATAAATGCCTTGGCAGCTCTCTGGAAGCACAGAAAAAAGACCAGGCATTTTAAATGAAAAATGTTCCCACTCGCTGATGCTTTCATCTCTATATGCAAGAGAGAGACTGGGTGGGATTCAAAAAGTTCATCAGCAACAAAGCCTCATCCTGTCCCATTTAGCAGTTATATCAGTCTATTACCTGATGTTAGGATATATAAGACAGTTTCCTTCCACTAGGAAGAGTTCCCTAAAATGGGCACTGTCAAAGCTGGGAAATCTGAAATCTGACCTACTTTTTTCAAAAGATTTCCATGAATTTCGTGGTAAGTGTAATTCTTTCTACAGTTAGAGCTCTCCTTTCAAAAAGAACTGTTAACTGACCTATGCTGGCAAATTGCCTTACGTTTTAAGTATCAAAATAAAAATCTATAAAATATGCACAAATTTCTCACATTTTTATCTCTAATACTGAATTCCCATGCTACTTTATGTAAACGTTGATTTTACTATCTGTTGTAAGCCCAATAAAATTCTGAATAAACCCACACTAAAAAATTATTCATTTGGAATACATTTATAAAACAAGAATAAACTAATTAGTCCTATGGGTAAGTTTGATAAAATACAAACGTGAATTTTAAAAGACATGTTATCTGTAAGAAGAAGATTCCTTGTATGTACAAGGCTGTCATTTATAGTTTTCTATTCTCCGTTTAGGAATGAAGCATTACATTCTTAAGAGGGAAGAAGGTTAATTAATTAAAATAGAAGCTATTCAATACTTTTTAAAGAGAGAAATCTAATTTCTGGGTTCTTTCAAACTCCTGCGTGTCATAATATGTCACTGCATTTCAAGTAAATTAAAAAATCAACCACACAGCATCACATTTATAGACTTTGATATCATTCTTGTAATTAAAATAAAGGTGCTGTACTCTTCCTACAACTATTCTGGAGAAATCACTCATAAACTGACATAGATTTAATTTCAAATAAAAGGATAAGAAAGCATACAGTATTATGGAAATTATACGCTTAAGACAGCATGGCACAATGAACACATTTTTACCACATGATTTACAGAAATAAATCACTTCTTATATTTATTCATTTTTAAGATTACTAACTTCATTTTCCTTAAACAAGGTTTAAATGTATAAAAAGTCTGTATTCAGTATGCTTAATTTTCTATTTAACTATAATTTTCATTGAATTGAATGAGAATAAAGTGGTTATAAATATTCACAAATAAATGAAACAAAAAATTAACTTCATAGCCTAAAGCATATCCACAGACTTTATACTGTATACCTCATAAGAACAGAGTAAATGGATATGATAAACAGCATAATAATGGACTTCAGTTTCATCAAAATGATACTTATTAACTAGACATTCATTACACTAACTTCAAGGTTCTTTAGCGTATACAGGAAATAAAACTACTCTGTGCCCATAAAAATCATAGCAAGATGAGACAATAGATCACTATGGGTATTTCTTCCATTGTGCCAATATTAAGTGAAACTCTAGGACAAAAGTACTCAAAACAGATAATTCCTATGATGTTCAAACAATGCATAATTCAAGAATATCTAAACTGAACAGAGATTAAAGAATACTTTTGATAGCCTTAAATTCTAGTAATAAACACAGAAGATAAAAATAAAAAGAGTAATGATTATACTCTCCAAATACTTGCCATCAATCTTTGCCTATTACTCTGCAGGGGTCTATTAAATATATATTGTTAAAATTAATCATATAAAATACACATTCATTCTTGAAAGCTAACGTTAGAAGCTATAGTGTTTAATAAAAATCCTAAATATGAAAATGCAAGTTATAAACATAGAGCACTAGGATTTTATTAACAAAGCTAATACCCTAGGATAGTAAGAATTGGAATGAAGGCATGGATAGGTAAATTTATAAGCAGCATTAGGGACTGAAATTCTCCAATTAAAATTCACATTAAAAGACATCCCGTGTCCTCATCAGATATATAATATTCCAGAAAAAGGAAAGAATAAATGAGGCTAGTCTTACCACCACTGCTACAGAGAAGTTATAACTGAAAGCTGTAGTTTCAATCTTTTTTTCTGCTTCTTTCTTTTATTATAAATAAATATGTTTATGACTTTATTTTGTCTGGCTTATACGCACAAATCACTTTTTGAAACACTGTGTATTATAAAAGAGCTATCTATGATTTTTGTACATAAACTCAATGGGGAAAATAAACAATAAAAGTTATCCTAGTTGTATAAATAGAACTAAATTCTTAGGAGACTTTAAAGGTGAATGTTAAAAAATGTGTTTTTGTCTCAGAAATCTAAGGAAAATCAGGATAAGCCTAATTAAACTGAATATACTCAAGATTTTTTTCTGTATTTTGTCTGCATATACGTGGGAAGGAAAAGTAGAAAATGTAAAAATTTTCCAATATCTACACCCATACCCAAGTTCTTGCTTTCTCTTCGCCTAGTAGAACAGTATATTATATAAAGTGGTGAGGATGACAATGACGTTATGACAAATAGGAATGGAATCAATGCAAGATGCAATAGGCCAATCTAGCTCTTGAGAAGATAATGGTTTTTATGAATGGCTTTACTGAATTGCAAGTAACTAAAAATGTATTTGGACAGACTTAGAAACTAAAAAATGTGTTCAGAAGTATTCTCATGCAGAGATGGTACTTCAATAAAACCTAATTGAAAAGATATATTTTTTTCCTAAAATTAAAAGCTCCAATTCTTAGAAAATGACTTATTTTCCTCTGAAAATACCATTTGTGATATGAGAAAAAGAATTCATTTCAGATAAGTCTTAAAGAATACTATGGCCCAAATTTCCATCGATTCAGCTACATAAGCAGAGCTAAGTCATACTGGCTCACATTAATGTCTTAGCCTAGAAAAGACAGTGCTAACACTAAAAGCAGAATTATTATGAAAATCGTAATTCTTAAACAAAAGTTTATAAGTGTACCATTGCTATTTCAACACTTACGGCTATCGTAACATATGTTTCCTAGAGCCCTGCCAGTTTGAAGCAGCACTTCCTGGTCTTTGCTATTTAGCAGCTGCACCAGTGGTGAAATTAATCCTGCATCCACACATGGAATTCGCATAAATTCTGAAAAGAAGAACATATTTAATTAAAAATATAAAGATTCTCAATTACATAAAAAACCTCCCTTAATAAAATAAATATCTAATATGAAAATGTTTAAGATGGCTTACTATCTGAAGAGTACATTTCTGTCTAAAAGTATCATTACAACCCTATTAAATACTTCATGAAATAAGTACACAAAAATGAGTGGGGTCATATTTTTCTTTGCTGATAGTCTCTAACATAAACCAAAAGAATTTTTCATTAACTTTCATTATACCTAATTTATCACTATCTTCTTATACCTGGATGTTATAAGAGGAGGAGGGGGGAGGGGGGAGGGGGAGGAGTTGGAGGAGGGGAATAAGATGTAAAGGTTTTGTTTGCTTTCACACATTTTCAACTTCAGTTATCAGCACTGTAGACACATAACAGTACCTAGTTTCAGAAATTTGTTGTTGTTGTTGTTGTTATTATTATTATTAGACACTGAGAGTACAATTCTAAAAAGGAAGAAATATTCACAGATACTTCCTCTTTTACTTATTTTTCCTTTGCCTCAAATCCATCTTAAATCTGTCATATAGGGGAACACTTTATTTAAAAGATATCAAAATCTTTTACTGCAATTTATGGTCATAGCTATGCTCCCACGTTAAACTTGCCCCTGGAACTTCTTACTAATACTCTGGATTTTGAACATCAGCACATAGTCAGGTACGCTAATTTTTAGAGAGTTCCTTTTGTATGTACAAATTTAACCATAATTATATTTTATAATTAATCCAAATCTAACAAGTATATGCTAACACTTCTCTTCTATTATTATATAACATGCACAGCAGAGTGACGATGAACAGATCAACTTCCAATTTCTTTTTTTCTCTGCTTCACACAATCTTCTTTCATTGTCAAGTTTCTAACCAGAAGAAATATAAGGCCAGTTAATATCTCTGTTGGGTCATGTTGCATTTCTGAAGATATTTATTTAAAAAGAAAGACTCTAATCCACTTTCTCAGCCAGTCACTTAAAAAAAAAACCATGTGACGATTAAGCAGTAAACAACCATTTAAATGGATCTCATTTATTTTAACCAGTAGGGATTAGTGGCATGCCCTTAACAAGCCTCTGATTAAAAGTATAAACGCTATAAATTATGTCTTTAAAACATAGCTGTCATCTACACTAGAGTGTAGTTGTCATACTAGACAACTACAATAGAGTTGTCATACACTAGAGTGTAACTAGAAGCAACCTCTAGCAGCAGAGTTATCGTGCAACTGTGACCAAGTATTATGAGGATTGATACTATTAAGTAATAAGATCATATAGGAATGGCAAGCCATTTCAAAAAAAAATCTATTCAAAATTTCTCAATCTATGTTATGTGTGTGTGCTCATTCTTAAGAAAAAAAGTTTTAAGGTAAAAATTGATTTCTGGAAACTATACTGTGTTTCTAATGAAGTTAAAAATAAATTACTTGATCTTAAAAATCAAGCTGCTTTGCATCTAAGATTTAGATAGTGGTTGCTCTAAGTTAACAAACAATATCTGAAGGGGTTTCATTTTCAAACTAGATCTGCTTCAGGAGTTCTCTGTTGTCCCAAGGTGATCCCTATCTATTCAGAGCAGTTCAAATCTTCTTGAAGTACACTAAATACTCCAGACCACTAGGAATCTCTGAACATTTATGACCAGCTCAACTCCAAAGCACAGCATAATGATTATAAATTACGATAGCTTAGATGTACATACAAACAATAGATGGTCAGTTTTCATTAACAACCAAAAAATGATTTACCAATATTGGAACTTGGAAAGATATTTTGAGCACCTCTAAACAAATGAAAAAATTTCATGGCAATTCTTTTTGGTAACACACATATGAACAAGTTGTTTTACTGGGCTAAAAACATACTTTACAATGCCACCTGCCACAGCGATTACACAATGTATAAAATTGTGTAAAACTGAAGCCAGAATTTTAAAGTTTCTTTTTTTAAAGTATAATATATGCAACTTACTAAAATAAAAGAACTAAAAATAATATCAAACTTTGACAAACTGAGGCATACTAATGGTATTACATTTAGCATGGCCTCCCCTTTTGCTTAAAAACTGCTTTAAGAAGTCAGTGCTTTTCTCAAATTGACTAAACTAAAATCATACACAAATATTTCTGCTACAAAATAATTCTTCCAAAGAATCCCCTCTCACTGGATATAAACCATATATAATGGGATGGCTATTTTATAATCTATGCTTTGCTGTCATTACATGGAAACCTAAGAAATAAATGTTTCTCATGAAGATGAATTCAGAAACCAGTATGTATTCCGACTACACTGTTGCAGTCAAGTGCCAACGTCAGTAGGTCAGACTAAAAAAAAAAAAAAAAAACAGTGAGTTTATCTGTATATAACACAAACCAACGTGTACATTGAAAAAGGGTAAGCTCTCCTGTGACAATGAAGACGAATGACTCAGTGGCAGCTCAAGAATCCTGTAACCAAAGCAATAAATGATACAGGTACAGGACTAGCAGTGCTGTTCTTTAATTCTACTCTGAAGGAATGGAATAGCAAATGGGAAACGTACGAATAGAATGACTATAATGATAGTCATTTTAAACAACATTTCATTACATGAAAAAAGTCAAAGAACAGAAAAATAGAAAGTAAAAAGGTCTAATCTACAAAATTAAAACATAAATTAATAAAACATACTGACAGGTAGGGTGTAAAACTGAAGATGTTTCCAGCAGAAAAGTTCTTGAGGAAAACCTCACCATTTTTGGCTATTTCTGCTATGATGTTAGCTACTTTGGCTGTGCAGGAAGACTGTGGAACCAACAGACTTGCAAACAGTTGAAGTATTCCACTTCCTTGGATTTTTTCACTTGTTTCCATATCTGAAAGAGATACATACAAAGAGCTTCAGTGAACATCTTCAACACTAACACTGACAACTTCATCTACAATAAATTCTTTCTTTAAGAATTTTCACCATCCATAATAGAAACAGTTCATTATATATTAAAATGTGTATATTTATATAAAATTACCTTCAGTTCCACAAGCTGCTTTTATGTTCAGTTTTTATCTATGCAAAACACTTTCTAATACAATCTTTTCTAAATCTACAGATTATAAAGGAATCCTTTCTGAATATACGATTTGCATACCAAATTTACTTCTCAATGTTATTTCCAACACTGTCTATTCAGAGTAGGAATGCTTTACTTTCTACTTCCCTTCTGAATTCTCTAAGAGTGTGTTATTAATACATGTGAATTCTATGATTACCTATAATGCTACAGCAATTAAAAAAAAATAAGTGGCAACTAAATGTGCAAAAAACTCACCTCATATCATTTTATATGGAGTGATAGAAAAGACTATTCAGTTCCATATGATTACTATGTTTCTCACACAACTTATTCAAACCACCACTAATGAGAAAGGGAAATAGTCAACAGCAATAAGGCCATGGTATTTAGAACTCTATATGGTGATATAGAAATTCAAGAAGAACTACTTCTTTCCTTTTCTTTCCATCTTTGTTAAAATACAAATAAAGAGCCTTTGTATGAAATCAAGCCGCTTCATGTAAAAAGCATGACCTATTAAAATAAAAAACAGGAACACCTGGAATGATGATGGAAATAAAGACAAGCTCAAGGAAACAAAATTTAAAATTACTATTTGGCTCTTAACAACGAAGAGGAATGGCATTGTTTAAAAACAGGGAGCTATAAGGCTCATTAAGACATTCTATTTAAATTTATTTCTATGTGTAGCTCCTCTATATCCTTTACATCCTTTGGTTATACAAACAAACAAGAGAACTCTAAAGATTTCTTGTTAAGTAAATGGCAGCTGCTCTGATCAACAGAGAGTAGGAATCATTTTTAATAATTTGAGAAAGTCTACAAAAAATTATCTATTTCTTTATAGTAAGCGCTGATTTGTTTACCTCAGTGTTTTTCAAACTGTGGGTCCCAATCCATTAAGAACCCTGAAATCAATCTGGTGAGCAAGGACCAGCACTTTCTTAAAAAGAGAAATAGAATCAACAATATCCACAACAACAGCAAAAGAATAGAAAAACAATTTTTTTGCAGACAGTAAGGTAAAACACTGAGTGAAACACATGCACATGTAACTGTATGTGTATGCTTACTGAATGTAAAATGTACCACTAATCGTAGATTCTGGTCAGAAAGTTAAAAAGCAATGTTCTGTGTAACCCAAGACTAGCCAGGATTCTGGGTTAAAGAGGTATAACACTCTTAACATTATCAGGAGAAGCTGGAATTGTTGAATGGCTAAAGCAATAGAAAATTATATGGAAAATTATTTATAAATTTGTAAAATTTGAAAAATGTAAAAGTTCCATGGATTTGTTATCTTAAAAATATTTCTTTGCAATTACTGTAGTTACTTGGGTATATGTGCATGTTTATATATGACATTAGTACAAAAGATCAAGTAATCAAAATTAGTCAATGTTGAAACTCCATCCATGCATTTCCTTTTCCATAAGCCTAGTACACTTTAATACAGCTAATACTATTTTGGTTTTCTTACATTTTATGTACTGTAATAAAAAAGGGTATTTTGGAGATGCTTTAAAACAGCGCTTTTTATTAGGTGAAGAAACAGAAGCCCAGAAAGATAAAGTAAACTTGTCTAAAGTCACCAATAATCATAGAGCATGAAGAGCAAATTCAGATTCTACTACACTAACAATTCAACATGTGTATCACCTGGCAACCACTGGTGTTATTTTTTAGAACAGAAAACTTACTTAAGCATGCGTAAATGAAATTTGTCTTTTTGTATGCTGCTACTCACTGGTTTCTCACAATTCAGATTATTACAAATGTAAAGTACACATGATAGAACATAAACACAGGAGCTGTCCTTTCAGCAAGCGCATTTATAAAATACAATGTGGCTTTTCACTTTTACTTTGTTTCTTGGATTAAAAAATAAGTTTTTAAGGTACCACCTGAAAATCTGACACCAAGTTTCTGTTAATTATTATTATCATTATTATTCTTTCTAGCAAGAAGCCAAAAGAACTGAACTCAGTTTGCCATGTTAAAATTCTTCCTTTTCTGACCACTGCTACAACGGTAGGACACTGGGGTTGACTGCCCCAGGGGTCTTGTCCCACCATCTGCTGGTGCTAGGATGATAGCAAGAATCTGGCATGAGGAATGAATCATGATTAGATGTGAAGCTGAGGCATTTGTGTGTGTGGAGGCGAGCAGTTAACTGCAAATCACCCAGGCACGTCTCACTTTAACTATAACTAAAAAAAATGGCTTAACATCAGAGCTGAATGTCAGGGGCACGGGGAAAAAAAGAAAACAAAGCAATACAAAACTCTTGCACTCTGATGAATTTCCATGGATTACAATCCAGGGAACTGGGAAAACAGTTATAATAAAAGATGAATCAAGATTTGGGAATAGTATTTTTTTAATATTACTGTCAGAGAAATAAAAGGGAAAATATAATCTGGTTTTTCATATAAATCTGATTTACAATTTAGAAAAATCAAAAAGGAATTCTATTTACTTGCTAGCATGTGGATTTATATATAGTTTTAGAACTTAAATTAAACAGCTGGGAATTATCTTCTTTCGTTTGTCATAAAAACATAAAGGGCCAAATACTGCTTATCATTAAAATGCCACTATCCAATAAACAATTACAAAGTTTCAGCCTCATTTCATATATGCTTTCTACACTGGCATTCTACTGCATCTCACAATGTGTATCTGTGAGCTAAACATGTTCACAGATATCTGTGAGCACCGCTGAAATGATTTTAAGAGAGCATTAAGAAGGCATCAGTGGTGGTGTTTGCAGGTCTAAATGAATGACTGCTTGTAAAAAGAAATCATGTGTTGTGATCAGGAGTCCTAAAAAAAAAAAAACAGGCAGACTTTTCATTATCTTTAGCCACACTACTACTGACATTGGAACTATACCCATTTTAAATATTTGCAGGAATCAATTTCCACTTCTTTCTCCCCCTTCACATTTAGGTGCAGTCATAAAAGCATTTGAGTATGCCTACAAATTATAGGCAGCTGGCAGTCCTTGAATTTTGAAGGACCCATACATGAAGGGCAGTTGCTACTCTAGTATCTGTGGAGCTACGGCAGGAGTCATATCCAGTAGAGTAGCCCTTGCAGTTCTGCAAGCACTCATTCTGTCTCTGCAGTCCTATGTCCACACCCCACCTGACCTCCTGGTGGCAAGGAGCAGCTTCGTTATGAAACTGCCAGTGACAGAAAGAAAAAGAAAACTGGGCAATTGGGTCAGAGAAACTTGAAAGAAGAGTAAATCAAGAAGCTGTGCTACAATGCTATAGGGAGAGGAGAAGTTAAAGCACAACTCATAGAATTTCTCAAGACCAATAACCCAGGAGAAGACAGAGAATGGGTGGAATAGGAATGGGAATTTAAGATATGGCTCGAAAAATGCTAAAGTTCCCAACAAAGCTGCCAAGTAAATACATTAAAATAATTGGCTTTACAGTTCAAGAGCAGGTTTTCAGGTATGCTATTCTAAGCTGAATTTATGATGTTATGTTGGCATATAGGCTTTATGAGGAGAAACTAATGAAAAGCGTTTGATAGCCAATTTACAGTAAACTCCAAATTAGAAAAACAAAAATAATGACTGTTATTACTGTGACTCTATTAGATTAAAAATGTACTTGGATTATTTACTTCTAGTTATGAGACCAATAAAGAATTGCTATTTTTACTTATATTATACGTCCAAGGATCCTCGTGACTGACTGTGAAGAGAAGACGCAGATTTGGGATTGACTGCAAGGACAAGGAATATGACTCCAGGGCTGTGTGTGTATCGTTGTCTCTGGGGAACTATTTATTTCTCAAGGGGTAGATTTTTAGAATAGGGTGTAACAAGAGATCTGGCCCTGTGCCTGGGAGATCTGATCCAAATCCAAGGTTTCATTTCCTACCACACAGACAAGCCCCAAATCCTCTCTCCCTTTATCCAAAGGAAAACAAAGCATGTGCGCTTGGATATACAATAAATACCTCAAATTTATCATTTCCAAAATCCAATTTACTTTCTTCCTTTCCTTTCATTTTAGTCTCTATTGCAGTTAATGGCAGGGAACCCATCTAAGCCAGAAGCCCTAGAATGATTATAAAGTTTTCTTTTAGTAAATGCCTTGCTACCACCCATGTTAATCAGAAAGTACTGTAAGTTCTGTAGATTCCATCTGACTAGCATCTTGTGCATCTATTCTTTCCTTGTTACATTCGTGCTACTTCCAGTTCTCAATTCTGACCTTTATTAAATGCAACAGCCTCCTCAAGAGTCTCCCTAACTCCAGCCTCCCCTGCAACTGTCATCTACATTGACGGCAGAATAAGCTTCTGGAAATACAAATTTTATGTCACTCCTCTACTTTAAATCTTTAAATGATCGTCTATAAGTTTTAATTAAACATTCAAGCACATCCATGACATTTATATTTCCCAACCATATCTCCTGATACTCCTCCATTGATATCTTACATTCTAGCCACAGTAAATTGCTTATAGAAATCTAAATTAATCATTTTATTTCATACCTTCTTACTGCATTTGTTCCCTCTCTGAAATGCCACACCCACACCATCACTATAGCTAATTCCTACACAGAGGCATAGTGTCCTCATTTAAAGGCACCTGACTGAGAGCCATTTAAACTTTTAAAGATACCTGACTACCATAAAAACTCATTTTTTAAAACAGACATGTGACATAGGCATGATAGGTTATGTTTTCTTCATACTACAAATAAAGCTATATGATTATATTGGAAAAGCAATAAGAAACCAATTTTTCTGATTCCTAGTTCAGTGCTCTTC